ATTGGGAGCTGTTGCACAGATATGGACGTATGTAAGTATGTGTGCATGCATGGATGCGTGTATGTATATACTGTGTGGCCTCCTACGCCCGCAGCCTGAAAAACCGAAAGACCCACGAACTCCAAATAGACACAAACTGGTAAAGCGGCCACAAAAGCAAAGAGGGAGGCAGATACGCCACACGGCCAGCACTGCACAGCACTCCAGAACAAACAGGACAGGACATCGGCCTCTCTGAGTTCCCACCGTGAAGCAACAGACGCGGGACCCGGGGCCAGCAGCACCGCACGGCCCAGGGACGCCAGGGCCGCAGCTGGCCTCTGCCCGGCCTCTGCAGCCTTCAGCCCCCGGCCCTCTGTGACCTCATTCCCGGGCACCCCCCCCCCATCTGCTGCTTTGTGATTTCATCAGCCACCCCCTTCTCGCCTCTCCACAGCCCAGTTCCCGCAGTCAGCTTTGGGACGGTTCGGGACTGTTCCGCGCAGGTGACCTCCAGCGGATGGGCCTTGGCTTCTTTGTTCCCAGCGTTCCCCGGAGCGCCCGCGATCGGTGTCCCGGGGCCCCCAGCCGCCCTGGCTAGTGCGCCCGCGCGGCCTCCCGCGCCTCCCCTGGGCCGGCCATGGAGAGCCGGGTTCCCTCCGCCCTCACACTGCCCCAGGTGCTGGGGCCGGAGGCGGCCTCGGGGCGCCGGGCCGGGCCTGGCCGCCGGCACCTGCTGCGGAGCACGGCCGCGGTGCAGGCCCTGGCGGCCGTGGTCCGGCCGTGCTATGGCCACTCGGCCGGCAGAAGTTCCTGGTGGCAGACAACGGAGACGCGGTGTGCACGGGCCAGGCGACCGCCATCCTCAAGGCCCTGCGGCTGGAGCACCCCGCGGCCCAGCTGGTGCGGGAGGCCGCGCACGCGCAGGCGGAGGAGAGCGGGGACGGCACGGCCTTCGTGGTGCTCCTGACCGAGGCGCTGCTGGAGCAGGCCGAGAACCTGCTGCAGGCCGGGCTGCGGCGCGGCCAGGTCCGCGAGGCCTACGCGGCGGCCGCGGCCGAGGTGGCGACGGCGCTGCCCTTGCTGGCCATCCGCTCGCTGGGGCCTCTGGAGGACCCGGTGTGGGCGCTGCTGCCGGTGGTGAACACGCACTCCGTGCCGGACGTGAACCTCCTGGCGAGGCTGGTGGCGCAGGCGTGCTGGGCGTGCCGCCAGCCGGACGGCAGCTTCCGGCCGGAGCGCGTGGGGGTGTGCGCGCTGCGCGGCGGGACCCCGGACGCGTCCTGCGTGCTCCCGGGGCTCGCCCTGCCCGCCGCCTGCTGCGGCCAGAGGAGCTCGGTGCTCGCCGGCGCCCGGGTGGCCCTGTTCGCCTGCGACTTCGCGTCCGCCTCGCCGCGCCTGCCCGCCACCGCGCGCCTCTCCGACCCCGCCGACCTGGCCGGGCTGCGGCGGGGCAGCGACCGCGCGCTGGAGAGGCAGCTGTCGCAGCTGGCCGAGCTGGGCATCAACGTGGTGGTGGTGTGGGGGGACGTGGACGAGCTGGCCGTGGGCCTGGCCGACCAGCTGGACATCATGGTGGTGCAGGCCCGGTCACGGAGGGACCTGGTCCACCTGAGCCAGGTGCTGGACACACCGCTGCTGGGCCAGCTGGTGCCCCCGCGGCAGCCCGGCCGCTGCCAGCGCGTGCAGGCGCGGGAGCTGGGCGACGGGCGCGCCGTGCTGCTCGAGTGGCAGCCAGCCGGCTCGCCCGCGCTCACCTTGGTGCTGCGCGGGGCCTCAGCCGAGGGCCTGCGCGGCGCCGAGCGCGCGGCCTACCGCGCCATCGACGCCTTCGCCCAGCTGTGCCGCGACCCCCGGCTGCTGCCCGGGGCGGGCGCCGCCGAGATGGCGCTGGCCACGATGCTCTGGGCCAAGGGCCACACGCTGGAGGCGCCCGACGGGCCGGCCTTCCTGGCCTTCGCCCGCGCGCTCCGGACGCTGCCCAAGACGCTGGCGGAGAACGCGGGCCTGGCCGCATCCCAAGTGATGGCGGAGCTGAGCGGGATCCACCAGACCGGGAACTTCGTGGTGGCGTGGGCCCCGAGGGCTTGGTGGACGCGGCCCGCGAGGGAGTGTGGGACGTGCTGACCACCAAGGCCCGGGCGCTGCAGATCGTGGCGGACATGGTGATGCAGCTGGTGATGGTAGACGAGATCGTCCTGGCCCAAGAGCGGCCCGGCCTTCCAGCCCGACACCCGGGAGGC